ACGCATAGTCCTTTCACTTTTCTGCTCCAAGCTGCTGGGTTCTGCATTAAGTCCTTGTGCTTCTGGGGCTGTGGCCGTGCTGGAGAGCCGCTTGTGAGGGGCAACTGGTGGCCTTGGTAGGGCGTGAAGGACGGACCGGAACGCCCCCCTTCCCATGAGGTTTTAGTCGTCCCCACAATCCTGGCTCATACCTGTTGTCCACAAGGCCCCCATGCGGCCGCCATCCTTCTTTCCAGAGAAGAGAGGGCGAATGGGGCAACACCCTTTCCCCTCCGGACAGACATGATGGCCTGGATTAACGCATAGTCCGTTCACTTTTCTGCTCCAAGCTGCTGGGTTCTGCATTAAGTTCTTGTGTTTCTGGACTGTGGCCGTGCTCCAAACTTAACTATGATTTTCAGAGAGAAACGTTGGGTGGTTTACTTCCCATGGTTCACTTTGTATATAGAGAGATGTTGCACGGCCGCATAAGCCCGCGTAAGCCTACCCCATCTGGGACTTCCCAGTGATCTCAGCTCTTTTTGGAACCTGTTTTTTTTTTTCCTTCGGGATCTGTGGATCCCGCCCTCCATGTAGTCCTTCTCTTCGGCTGAATCCCCAGTGCCCATCTCATAAGGGGTTTATATCAAGGATCTACAAGGCGCTAGTTAAACTCTACAAGAAGAAATCATCCAATCCCATCAGAAAATGGGGTGATGAAATAAACAGAAAGTTTCTCAGAGAAGAAATTCGAATGGACAAAAAGCACATGAAAAAATTAGAAATTGTGCTCCCACTTGACTCAGCAATACCACTTCTGGGAATATATCCCGGAGATGAAAAATGTACTGTAGAAATGATATCTGCACTTTGTGTATTTATTGCAGTACTATTTATAATAGACAGAATCTGGAAAAAACCTGAGTGCCTGAGAACAAATGACTGGTTAAAGAAAGTCTGATATATCTACACAATGGAATACTATGCAGCTGTTAGAAAAGATTAATTCATGAAAGTTGCATATTAGTGGATCTACAGGGAGAGTATCATGATAAGTGAAATGAGTCAGAGAGACAGGGACAGACATAGAATGACTGCACTCATTTGTGGAATATAAAGTAACATAATGGAAGCCTAACACCCAAGGTTAGTAGAGATAAGGGCCAGGAGGGTGCTCCATTGCTTGAAAGTCGGCCTTACATTCTGGGGCGAAAGGCAGTGAGATATAGAAGGAAACACCAAGTAAAGGATGCTTTAGAGAGCCTGCTCAGGATGGAAGATGTGCGCTGAAAGTAGACTATGGACTGAACATGATGGAACTTAGTACCCGTATTGCAAACATAATACCCCAAAGAATAGAGAAAGTGTGTAAAAGGGAAAGTGTCTGCCACAGGGGCAAGGGGGGATGGGGGTGGTGGGAGGGATACTGGGAACATTGGTGGTGGAGAATAGGCACTGTTGGAGGGATGAAAACTCCATAATTGTATGACTGAAACGTAATCATGAAAGTTCGTAATTCTGTAACTGTATCTCACGGTGGTTCATTAAAACAATTTTTAAAAAGTGTCCCCTTGTGAAAGGGAATATGGTTAGCTAAACAGTGCTTTCACCCTGCCATGCCCCCCTTTCTCTGCTGAGATAAGCCCAGAGAAGTGGAGAAGGCAGAAGGGTTAACACTCCAAAGGAAGTACGGAACATCAGGTCCAGGACAGAGCTCTGGTGGGTGTGGGTGCTCCACAGTCATTGTTGTTAGGAGGCTGCTAGAGTGAGGAGTACAGCTACAGGCAAGTAGCTGCAAGACTTCCAGGTGCTAGCTGCTGCCAGCTGAAGCTGCCAGCTGGAGCCACTACTAATTAGACTGCTGTCATAGGAGCATGACACCTAGAGAAGCCATCAGAGTTCAGAGATCCCTTTGGAGCTCGGAGTTGGGGTGGGGGCCACACTGCTCCTGTCTCACAAGAGGACAAAAGAGAACTGAGGGCAAGTAGGTTATCTAGAGAAGCGTGGGGGTATTCCTAAGAGACTCCTGAGCCAGATGCATGGAGATGGAGGCACTAAGACCCTGCAGGTCTGCAGAACTGTTGGAGAGGGAGAAAAACCTTAAGAATGCTAAGTAGCAAAAGGTACCAGATAAAAGAGATTCAAATAAAAAGACTCTAAGAAATGTCATAATCAGAAGGACAAAAGTCTCAGATGAACACAGAATACTGAATGCAGCAAGATTAATGAAGAAAATTACATACAAAGGAGCATCTTTAAGATTTACCAAATTAAAAAAAGATTTACCAAATAATAAGGCCCTCATAGCCTGAAGAGAAATGGTGGTATATAGTTATTAAAGACAAGGTAGGCAAAACTCTCCATGATATTGAGGCTAATGGTATCTTCAAAGACAACACTGACCAACCAAATGGAAAAAGAGATAAAAAAAATGAGACTATCTTAAATTAAGAAGCTTCTGCACCTCAAAAGATACAATAACCAGAACACAAAGACAATCTACAGAATGGGAAAGTGTATTTACCCAAGACCCATCTGATAAAGGGTTGATATCAAGGACATACAAAGCACTGATTGAACTCCACAATCAGAAAACATCAAACCCAATAAAAAAATGGGATGATGGAATGAACAGAAACTTTCCCAAAGAAGAAATCCAAATAGCTAAAAGGCGCATGAGAAAATGCTCTACATCATTAATCATCAGGGATATGATGATCAAAACAACAATAAGATATCATCTCACACCACAGAGACTGGCCCACAAAGAACAAAAGCAACTGGTGTTGGCGCGAATGTGGTGAGAAAGGGACTCTCCTTCACTGCTGGTGGGAATGTTGACTGGTTCAGCCTTTTTGGAAAACAGTATGGACATTTCTCCAAAAATTAGAAATTGAGCTCCCATTTTTCCCAGCAATACCACTCCTGGGAATATATCCCAGAGAGGCAAAAAGTACAGTCAAAATGACATCTGCACTTCTATGTTCATTGCTGCAGTATTCACAATAGCCAAAATCTGGAAAAGACCCTAGTGCCCGAGAGCAGATGACTGATTAAAGAAAGTTTTGTACATATACACAATGGAGTACTATGCAACTGTTAGAAAAGATGAAGTCATGAATTTTACATACAATTGGTACTACATGGAAAGTATCATGCTAAGTGAAATGAGTCAGAAAGAGAGGGATCAGACACAGAAAAATTGTGTTCATCTAGGAAATATAAAGTAAAAATTGGGAGACTAACACCCAAGAATATCCAAGAAAGGTACCAGGAGGTTTACTCCATGGCTTGGTTGCCAGCCGCACATGCTGGGGGCAAAGGCAGCTCAGAGAGAGACGGGAGCAACAAGTGTTGGGAGGATCCTTCCAGGATGAGAGATGCATGCTGAAAGTAGACTATAGACTGACTATGATTGCCACTCAATGCCTCTTTTGCAAACCACAGCACCCAAAAGGAGAAAGAGAACAAAAGGGAATGCCCTGCCTCAGGCTTGGGGTGGGATGGGGTGGTGGGGAGTTGAAGGGATGCTGGGAGCATTAGAGGTGGGGAATAGGCACTGGTGGAGGGACGGGTATTCAATCATTGTATAACTGAAACCCAAACACAAAAAATTGTAAATCTACAACTGTACCTCATGGTGTTTCACTAATAAAACTTAAAAAAGAAAAGAAATCTATCTCAGTGAAACAAATGCCTGAGCAAGAATACTTTACTCAGCCAGCATTTCATTTATATTTGAAGGCATGATACATAACTTCAAGGATAATGAACAACTCAGGAACTTCATAGACTTGAAGTCATCTTTACAAGAACTAAAGGGGCTACTTTAAGACAAGACAAATTTCACAAATACACCAAACAGAAAGAACGCACAAAGCTCCATGATAATAATCTCACTCAATGTCAACATCCTAAAAACACCAATTAAGAGGCAGAGTATCACGATGGATTAGAGAATTGAATACGATCTTCCGCTGACTAGAAGAAACATATATGAACAGACTCAAAGTCTAAGGTTTAAATACCATATTTCAAGCAAACAACCCCAAATATAAAAGGCTGGGGAGGCCATATTAGTGTCAGAAAGCACTTACTGGAAATCTTAACAGTAACCTTTCCTCTTAAAATGAAATATGTTGTCTGCTCAGCTTCACTAACTTCCTTACCAGTTGCCTTATTTTAATAGTGACTCCTAGGAGCACTGAGAACTGGGTCAAAATCTAGTTGAGCAATTCCTAATCTCTCATTAAGTAGGAAGAAAATAGAAATTATATAGAATGCCAGCTGATATGCTGCTGAGTCTTTCTTGAAAAATAATACCTGATTGCACATAATGTTTAGACTTTGTTATTTATAGAAGTTTCAGGTTTATAACAAAATTTAGAGGGCATATAGAAATTTCCCATATATCTCCTGTCCCACATGTGCATTATCAACATTACTCACCAGAATGGCACTTTTACCAAGGAGTACACTACAGTGACACATAATAAACTCCCAAAGTCTGTAATTTCACCCCAAGGTTCTCACTTGGTATTATACATTTTATAAGACTGGATGAATGCATAAAATCAGTCATCCATATTATAATGCCATACAGAATATTCTTACTGCCCCCAAAAGGCTACTTTTACCACCAATCCAACCCCTTGTCCATCCCTCGACAATCTCTGGTTTTTTATAATGTTTCCATAATTTTGCCTTTTGCAAAGTCATATATACTTGGAATCATATAGCATGAGTGAAGCCTTTACATATTGACTTCTTTTACTTAGTCATTTGCATTTATGTTTCCTTCAGGTCTTCCTATGAACTTATAGAAAATTTATTTGTAATAATAAATTCTATTCCACTGTCTTGATGTGCTATAGTTTGTTTATCCATTTACACAATGTTTTGGCTGCTTACAAGGTTTATCCAATATAAGCAACCAACTAATGTGTTGGATGCTTATAAGGTTTACCCACTATGAACAAAATTGCAATATACATATGCAGGTTTGTGTAGATACTTTTTTGAAGGAGAACACAAACATAGTCTCCCACTACCACAAATTATGTAGTGAAGTTTCCCATATTTGGGGAAATCACAGAGGTCAGCATGTCTCTTGGAATGCAATGGATGAGGCTTGCCCTGGGAAAACTATCTTTATGATCATACTGTTCCTCTTGCCAGATAAGTACATATTTTTGTTTGAGCAAATATCAATGAGTGTTTTTCATATGAGTCAGTATGTTTATTTTTGTAAGAAGCCATGAAACTGTCTTTCAATATAGTTGTACCATTTTTCATTCCCACTAGCACGCAGAGTTCCTATTGCTCTACATCCTAATCAGCATTATTTTTGTGTTACAGATTTTAGCTATTGTAGTAGGTATGTAGTTGTATCCCATTATTGTTGGGGATTTTTTCATAAAAAAATGCCATGTTCAATGGGCTAAGTGCATGCTTTTTCTGCAGAAGTACCAGGTTCTATCCATGGCACCACATGGTCTCCCAAGTAGAAGGAGTGGTTCAAAAACAAAAATATGTGTCATATCGACAGTAATATCACCTTGGTGCAAAATATTCAGATATATTGTGAGTTACCAAATTCCACACCCACCACTACCCTACTATCCACACTACATATACAAACACCACTTTAGAAGGAATACTGAATCAAAGAAGGAAATAGGACCTAACATTGATAAAGAGCTTCTCTTTAATAGTCATCACATTTAGGATTTCACATTAAATTATTATAGTAAACATAATAGTAGAAGAATAGTATTCCAATTTATAGGTAAGGATTTTGGGACTCAAGTAACTGTTTCTACAGCTACTAATGGAGGAATTGAGATATTTAACTAGTATATGAAAACAAAGTCTGTGAAGTATCTTATGCAGCATTAGACTTGAGGAATATATTTTCACCTGTTTTTCTGTTTATTATTCCATGTCATTTATTTAAAATGGAACCATCATATATAAAGGTTACTTGTCCCAGATAAGGTGCCAAACAGATGGTAATTTCATTCCTTCCCACAACTGATTATATATATATATATTTGCTTTTGGGGCCATACCCGGCAATTCACAGGGGTTGCTACTGGCTTATGCACTCAGGAATTACTCGTGGAAGTGCTCAGGGTACCATATGGGATGCTTGGAATCGAACCTGGGTCAGCCGCGTGCAAGGCAAACACTCTACCCACTGTAGTATTGCTCCAGTCGCACAACTGATATTTTTAAAATCAATTGCTGTTGAAAATATTCCCTCCACTTTTTTCCCCATTCTTGTGACTTTTTTCTCTGGCAGGAATCACACAGGTTGATTGTGATGCTTATACACATGCTCATTGGCGGGGGGGGGGGGGGAGAGGGAGACGGGTCACACAGGTGGATATGGTACTTCTACACCTAACTAGGATGCTCACCAAAGTCCTGTGTTTTTGTTGTGGTGCTCACAAACACCTAAGTATGCACCAGAGAGCGCACACTCTGTTCTGGTGCCAGGATTACTAGACAGCAGATCCACAAGGACAGTGCTTGGCACATGATATCAGCATCAGAATCTAATTTATGACCTCATGCATGCAAGGAAAATATTTAGCCACTGATTCAGTCTCTGGATACAAAGGTAAATATTTTTTATCTACATCTATATAAACTATATTGTTCATATTTTGGGTAATTTGACACACAGTCATCTTTTCAATTTTGTATATTTACATATATACACAAACACACATTCTCACACACATGTACATAAACATATATATGTGTGTATATATATACATATATAATCTATAAGAATATGTAGAAAATCTAATTTCTTTGGTCTGGGGGAAGGGGCTTTGTCACACACAGCCATGCTAAGGCCTTATTTCTTTTTTTTTTAATCATTTTTTTTATTAGTGAAACACCATGAGGTACAGTTATAGACTTACAAATTTTTGTGCTTGGGTTTCAGTCACACAATGATCAAGCACCCATCCATCCACCAGTGCCCATACTCCCCCACCACGGGTCCAAGCATCCCTCCCACCCCCCATCCTCCCCGTCCCACCCTGCCGCTGTGGCAGGGCATTCCCCCTTGTTCTCTCTCTCTTCTTTTGGGTACTGTGTTTTTCAAGAGAGGCATTGAGTGGCAATCATGTTTGGTCTATAGACGACTTTTAGCATGTCTCTCCCACCCTGGGAGGGTCTTCACAACACCCTTTATTTGGTGCTCACTTCTCTATCTGAGCTTCCTTTTCACCTAGCACATGTGGCTGGCCTTCAAGTCATGGAGCAAAATTCCTGGTACTAATCTCAGCCATTCCTGGGTGTTAGTCTTCCGTTTTGTTGCTTTATGTTCCCCAGATGAATGCAATCTTTCTGTGTCTATCCCACTCTTTCTGACTCATTTCACTTAATGTGATACTTTCCATGTAGTACCACTTGTATGTAAATTTCATAACTTCATCATTTCTAACAGCTACATAGTACTCCATTGTGTAAATGTACCAAAGTTTCTTTAACCAGTCATCTGTTCTCGGGCACTCAGGTTTTTTCCAGATTCTGGCTATTGTAAAGAGTGCTGCAATGAACAAACAATTGCAGATGTCACTTTGACTATACCTTTTTGCCTCTCTGGGATATATTCCCAGGAGTGCTATAGCTGGGTCAAATGGGAGATCAAATTCTAATTTTTTGAGAGTCATCCATACTGTTTTGCAAAAGGGCTGGACCAGTCGGCATTCCCACCAGCAGTGAAGGAGGGTCCCTTCCTCGCCACATCCGCGCCAGCACCTGTTGCTTTTGTTCTTGTGGATGTGGGCCAGTCTCTGTAGTGTGAAATGATATCTCATTGTTGTTTTGATCTGCATCTCTCTGATGATTAGTGATGTAGAGCATTTTCTCATGTGCCTTTTTGCCATTCGGATTTCTTCTTTGCAAAAGTTTCTGTTCATTTCCTTGCCCCATTTTTGATGGGGTTGGGTGATTTCTTCTTCTGTAGTTTAACCAATACCTTGTATATCATTGATATCAACCCCTTGTCAGATGTGTATTTGGTGAATATTCTTTCCCATTCTGTAGACTGTCTTTGTATTTTGGTCACTGTTTCTTTGGAGGTGCAGAAGCTTCTTAGTTTAAGATAGTCCCATTTGTCTATCTCTGTTTTCACTTGCTCGGCCAGTGGCGTGACATCTTTGAAGATACCATTAACTTCAATATCATGGAGAGTTTTGCCAACTTTGTCTTCAACAAACATTATGGATTCCGGTCTGATGTTGAGGTCATAAATTCATTTTGATCTTACTTTTGTGCATGGCGTTAGGCAGAGATCTGAGCCCACTTTTTTGCATGTAGCCTTCCAGTTTTGCCAGCACAATTTACTAAAGAGGCTTTCCCTGCTCCATTTCACTTTTCTTGCCCCCTTATCAAAAATTAGATGATTATATGTTTGGGAGGAGATGTCAGTATATTCAACTCTGTTCCATTGGTCTGAAGCTCTGCCTTTGTTCCAGTACCATGCTGTTTTGATTATTACTGCTTTGTAATAGAGCTTGAAGTTAGGTAGGTTGATTCCTCCCATTTTATTTTTCCCAAGAATTGCTTTAGCTATTCGTGGGGGCTTATTCTTCCATAAAAATTTCAGGAGTGTTTGCTCCATTTCTTTGAAAAATGTTACGGGTATCCTTATAGGGATTGCATTGAATTTGTACAGTGCCTTGGGCAGTATTGCCATTTTGACAATGTTGATTCTCCCCATCCATGAACAGGGGATATTTTTCCATTTGCTCCTGTCCTATTTTAGTTCCTGAAGTAGCATTTTGTAGTTTTCCTTGTACAGATCCTTTACTTCCTTAGTTAAGGTGATTCCTAGGTACTTGGTTTTCTGGGACACAATTGTGAATGGAATTTTTTTCTTCATGTCACTTTCTTCTCTTTCACTATTTGCATATAGGAAAGCCATGGATTTTTGGGTATTTATTTTATAGCCTGCCACTTTACTATACAAGCCTATTGTTTCTAGAAGTTTCTTGATAGAGGTTTTAGGGTTCTCTAAGTATAATATCATGTCATCTGCGAATAGTGAGAGCTTGATTTCTTCCTTTCCTACCTGGATGCCCTTAATATCTTTTTCTTGCCTAATCGCTATTGCAAGTACTTCCAGTACTATATTGAACAGCAGTGGACAAAGTGGGCATCCTTGTCTCATCCCTGACCTTAGGGGGAAGGCTCTCAGTTTTTCCCCATTGAGGATGATGTTTGCTGTAGGTTTGTGGTAGGTGGCTTTAACTATATTGAGGAAAGTCCCCTCTATCCCTATTTTGTCAGGCCTTATTTCTTGCGTTGCACTCAGGGATTAGTTCTGTCAAGCTCAGGGGACCATATTGCGTGCTGGGGATTGAACTTGGGTCAGCCGTGTGCAAGAAAATGCATTGCCTGTTGTACTGTCATTCTAACCTCTCCCTCAAATCTAAAATCTTTGGCTGTCTTTTATGTTCCTTGTCTGAATACTAGGTTTGGGAACACAGAAAGATTAGTAGCACTTCAACCAGCTTTGTTTCTCAGGAGTATTTTTCAGTGTCCGAAATTTGCATTAGAAGACCACTGAGTTAAGAATCAGAGAACTGTCAGCCCTTCCAAGACCACGTGTTGCCCCCCACAAGCGACTTTGCCTCACAGCCATGGCCCCAGAGGCACACTGACCTAATTTGGAACCCAGCAGCATCCGGCAGAAATGTGAATGGACTATGCAGTAAGCTATGGTGCCGTGGCCCCCGGGAGGGAAATGGTGTCTGTCTTTTCTGCCATTCCCTCCCACCGGCGGCATGGTGGCCACCACCTCAGAGCTTGTTGGACAGATAAGTATGAGCCGGCTGTGACGGGGCAACTGTGGCCTCATGGGATGGGGGGGGGCAGAAACCAGCACGTCTTTCTTGCTCTGCAGAGACCACGAGTTGCCCCCCAGGAGCGGCTCTCTAGCACAGCCGTGGACCCAGAGACACACAAATCAATCTCGGAACTATTCGGCTTTTGGCAAAAATTCCTCCAGACTTAATTAGTAAATATCAGAAATCCAAAATTGCGTGGCTGCTATTGCAGTTGCGCAACATCATATGGTCTTCATAACCAGAAATAGAAAACAAATTCTTTCATGATGCCTTTTCAGCAGGTTTGATTGTTGGGGGAAAATTCCAAATAATAA